GTGAAGAAGCATGTAAAGCTATGGTACAATCTTATGCACTTACTGGTTGTGGAAAAGGGAGACCAGAAGTTCGGCCCACGGAATTTTCTGTCCTGTCCGAAATTCCGGTGATTTCTTGGGCCGGCCGAGAGTCCACAAGGAATTTCGGCCCATGACCTCGTTGACCCTAAAATAAAAAACCTAATTTTTTAAAATTAGTTGCTGGACATCGTAGTGCTGAGCAGGACACCATAGTGTTCAGCGATATGGCGTAATGCTGGGCAGAACGCCATAGTGCTCAGCGATATGACGTAGTGCTGAGCAGAGCGTCATAGTGCTGAGCGGTATGGCGTAGGTGTCGGTGTGACTGTAAGTGAGGTGTGGAGTAGTGTGGATGTTGAAGGAAGAGACATCCACACCCTATACCCTCTGCTCAGCACTACGTCATACTACTCAGCACTATGCCATACCGCTCAGCACTATGACATCCTGCTCAGCACTATGGCGTCTTGCTCAGCACTACGACATATCGCTGAGCACTATGACGTTCTGCCCAGCATTACGTCATATCGCTGAGCACTATGGCGTCCTACTCAGCACTACGATGTCTAGCAACTAATTTTGAAAAATTAGGTTTTTTATTCTAGGGTCAATGAGGTTATGGGCCGAAAGTTCACCAGGAATTTCGGCCCGGCCCGAAAAAACACCGGAATTTCGGACCGGGCCGAAAGTCCGAGCCGAAAATTCCGTGGGCCGAAATTCATGGAACACGTGGAAAAGTGATCAAAGGTAGCAAGGTGAAATATTCATGGGACGCAAGTTCATGTTCACGTAGTGTTAGCAAAGAAGAATATACCTGTGCTTAAATATGGACAAAATACTTTAGTTGGTTTTTCTTGACATTAATAAATCAGCTCATGCGAAAGATAAATTTGAAAGTATTGTAAGTAATCACACGTAGGATTCAAATGATGATAACTGTAGATCATAAAAAGATTTATCTAATTACTGGGGATTCTTTGTCGATAAAATTTATTTAAATGTTTTGACCTTGTTTTCTCATTTGCTTTATCATGTTCGTTATCGTCGTTTATCATACGATCTTTTGATGCAGCTAATTCACAAAAGATTACTTGAATACAAAGTTTATCAATGACTCATATACTGTTTATGATAAATCATTCGCTATATTCTAACAAAAATCTTTCTATTGATGTACTTATTGCTTGCAGTAAGAAATTGTTAAAATAACGATCGAAAAAGTTTCATGAGTCTCCGTTAGAAAATTCCCTTATCTTGATATTACTAAAGTTCATAGTTAAGACATAACTGGGACAGTTAAAGTTCTGTAATAGGAATTTAGAAAACGAAAAGAGCGTATTTGAGATATTAATAATAATATCGATCTTTATTTGTTCTTATTAACAATATTCTTTTTCAGTCAATATGAACGAGTGAAGTTGAGAAAGTTCATCAAGTAAAAAAAAATTATAAAAATTTTTGCAATTGACGATGTTTGTTTCTTAGATGAAGTAAATAAATCTGTCTTGTCATTTCTGGATTTAATTTCATAATTCTATAAAATCGATCAAATATTGATCTTGAGACATAATCAAAATTGAACTATAGTGAAGTATTTCAAATGTGTGTGTAAAAATAACAATTGTATTGATTAAAAGAGTAAAATATATCAAATATATTGAGATATTCGAAGCATTCGATTAGAATTTTCTTTGATAATAATTCAAATCTCATACCAACAGTCAACAAGTTGTTCATGATAGAAACAAAGAAGATGATTTGCTTATTATAAACCAGGTTATTATTGTGATGATGACACTAAGCATAAGGAAACTATTTCGTATTTAATAGATTAAAGTAGAAATATGAATGAAGTCTCGACAAAAACAAAATTGCATTAATTTTTCATCTTCTGATAAAATGAAGTTTCTACATGAATGATTGCTACAGAAGATTTAAAAAATTTTTCAGACTTCTTCAACAATGTGTGACTTTATTGCATTAGAAAATGTCTGAAGTTCAAAAGGTAAAAAATACACTTTTTTCACATTAATTGAACGAACATAAGTAAGAAGAGATATGTTTATTGAGAAATTATTTAGGATGCTGCTGAAGTGCACATCTTGATCCGTTCAAAAATCGATGATGGATCAATGTAGATATGGACACCAGTCGCTTTGTTCTCATCAACTTTCTTGTTAAATACGATAAGTGCTTCGATAATGATTGATTTTCTTTCGGAATCGTTCTTAATCAAAACGATAACTTCGACGTGAACATACAACCGCTCAGGAACAACATCAACATGTTTAACCGTATGCTTCATGCTTAAGAATGAGTTGAACATGTTTTCAAAGAAATTCACAAACTCTTCATGTCCTTTCATCGATGGTAGATTTCCGACCTGTCCAACAGAATCAGAATCATAGAATTTCGTAATCCAGCTTCGAACGTCGAACGAATCACAAGCTGCGTAGTAGGCTTGAGCCCAGGCGGCTGATTTCTCCACCTGTTCGCATGTTACTGCAGTAGGTAACGACATACTAATGATAAAAACCGAAATGCATGCGAGTTTTTATCTTGTTACAAAAAAAGGCTCGAAAGCGTACTGTAAATATTGAAGACACGTGCAATAGGTATAGGTAGTGATTTACTTTGATCGCTGGACCGTGCAAACGAAACACAAACTAAGAATACTGTTATGCATAAAAATGACTCATTCTCAAAAGAGATACAATTTTTGTATAGAGAAAATCGATAGAGAGCTCTAACAGACATGCTTAAGAGTGTATTGTTTACATATAGTTCATTATAATACATATTGAATTATTTATTGATTCTCTATATTCTTAATTGTATAGCTATTTCATTTTAACGACTACTTAAACATTTCCAGCACTCCTTAATAGATATTCATAGATATGCAGTATTTATCTATAGCTTTTTAATCTTTATTCATAATGATTTATTCATTTGCAATATCGTTGAGTTATTAGTCATTTAATCTTAAGAAATACTAAGTGAAGTTAAATCATTCCAACATCGGGTATAACCTGCTGAATTATATTCGACATTGATCATAAAAAGCAAGTTAATACTGTTGACATTCTGAATTTTGACCACATGAGATAGACTGAAAATGGCTTAAAAGTCGATTATCTTAGTTCATGCATACTAGTGGCAGCGAATATTTTGAAATTTTTAGTTTGACTATGAGAGTATTCATTTTATCTGAATATTATGAATCTACTTAACACATAGTACATATCTTTCGACTGTGAGTGATATTCAATAAAAAATACGGTTATTGATAAAGGATGACTAGAGATTAAATAGTTACTCATTCAACAATTTTCTTTTTCTTCTTTTGCCCTTGCTCGAAATGAATCATTAAAAATAAATGAATAGCTGGATGTTTATTAAAGAACTAAGAATCATTATTAAATAGTGATGGAAATCTCTAAATACTCGGTAAGATTAATTGATTATAATATCAGATATTTTGCAAATATCTTTGATATTACAAGTTAGAAAATGAAAGATGTATAAATCGCTCTTATTGCTATCTTTAACCATGGTGTTGACGCTGCAGTAAACATAAATTTACGGTCTAAATCAAGTCCATTATACAAAAATTCATTGGCGAGTAGCGCAATGCGAACAATATGATACTCTTTATTTTCAAAAATCATCAGAGGGAATTAAAAGTACACCGAATTTTCAATTATTGTTCTGCTACAAAAAGCGAATACATTTTGATGAATGGCGGATAAGAGCAGCTTATACAACTTTCATTTTATGTTTCTCTAAATTCATTATCATGGGTCGACATCATTCATTAGGTTAACCATTGTACAAAGTTTCACGATGCATCTTTCAAAAAATATTTCAAATTTTTCTGACTTATAACAGCAAAGATATTGGCAAAATATATGATATTACAATCAATTAATCTTACCGAATATTTAGAGATTTCCATCACTATTTAATAATGATTCTTAGTTCTTTAATAAACATCCAGCTATTCATTTATTCTTAATGATTTATTTCGAGCAAGGGCAAAAAAAGAAAAAAAAAATTGTTGAATGAGTAACTATTTAATCTCTAGTCATCCTTTATCAATAACCATATTTTTTATTGAATATCCCTCACAGTCGAAAGATATGTACTATGTGTTAAGTATATTAAACATATTCCTATAGAATGAATACTTCCATGATCAAACTATATTTTTATATCATCAGATGTCAATAGGACGCATCAATTAAGGCAAACGAACTTTAAGAGATTTACAGCCTATGTCATGTGATCACACTTTAAAATTTCAAGAGTATGGATTTTTTCTTTTT